GCCTCCTCCCAGTGCATGCTGGGACCGAGCGCCTCCTCCCAGTGCGTGCTGGGACCGAGCGCCTCCTCCCAGTGCGTGCTGGGACCGAGCGCCTCCTCCCAGTGCGTGCTGGGACCACGTGTTTTTCTATGTCTGTTCTACATAATGGCGCCAGCTGGTCTGCAGGTGGCGCTGCTGTTCACGCTTTTTCTATCTGAATTAAAGAGCTCTACCTGATCCCTGATTGGTCGATTCTTTTCTCAGATTATCTTCAAATTAAAGGTGTTTCAGATTAAATAATCCCAGTTAAGACAAACCACAGATCTGTCTGGTGGTTCTGGTTCCCCTCCTCAGAACCGGGTCAGCAGCTTTCTGTGCTGATCCGGTTCTGGTTCCCCTCCTCAGAACCGGGTCAGCAGCTTTCTGTGCTGATCCATGGTTCCTCTGTCAGACAGGAAGCAGCAGGTTTCAACACATCAGCTTTTATTGTCCCACCAGAAAAATGAAGTACAGATCCACACAGACACACACTGGTACCGAACCGGAACGGATCCACGCTGGTACCGAACCGGAACGGATCCACGCTGGTACCGAACCGGAACGGATCCACGCTGGTACCGAACTGGAACGGATCCACGCTGGTACCGAACCGGAACGGATCCACATGTTGGAACCATGCCTCAGCAGCGAGGGTTCGATTCCAGGTTCCCCACAGATGATTGGGTCCAAAGGCTGCCAGTGTTTGATCCAGACGGTTCTGCTTTGACCCTCCTAAGGTCCAGAAAATAAAACTAAGTGAAGGTTCTGACCCAAACAGTTCAACTATAAAGTTCAGTTTTCTAGACTGGTCCAAACCAAGAAGCAGTTAGAAACTCAATGTGGTTCTTCAACGTTCCATCATGGGTGGAGGTTCTGGAAGGAACCGGGTCTGAGTGGAGGTTCTGGAAGGAACCGGGTCTGAGTGGAGGTTCTGGAAGGAACCGGGTCTGGGTGGAGGTTCTGGAAGGAACCGGGTCTGAGTGGAGGTTCTGGAAGGAACCGGGTCTGAGTGGAGGTTCTGGAAGGAACCGGGTCGGGTCGATCCTTCGCTTCAGGGACCAGTTTGAACCCAAACATGAAACGGTCCTGGTTCTGGTCCAGCAGCAGAGGGAACCAGTCCAAATGTTAGCTGTTAGCATTAGTGCCCCCTGCTGGTGGTTTGGACCATTACACCTACGATGAAAGGAGACGGTTCTGATCCGCTTTGCAGTCCTGAATACTGTAGTGGTCTGATACAAAAGACATTTATCAAAAGGATGAGCTGCAGAGCGCAGCATCGGTTGCTATGGCAACAGATCAGGACAACAGAGAGGATGATGATGATGATGGAGGCCCGCCTGTGCCGGTCCAAAACTTAAACTAAAATGAGGAAGAGGAGCAGACGCCATGTCCAGGTTAATGATGAAGGAACCTGGTTCCTCTGGTGGTTGTCATGGTTACCGCTCCCCCCGCCCTGACCTGCTGCCGTCTGACAAAGACAGGAAATATAAAAGTGGAGTTTTTCTATTGAGCGGCGTCCGTGGGGCCTCCGTGCTTCTGGCGCGGCGCTGCTGGTTACTTGTGCTCCTTGGTGGGGGCGAAGTAGAGCTCCATGGGTTTGTTGACCTTCCAGTACTTCTCGCTGACCAGCTCCAGGGAGAAGGACCCGTTCAGAACCTGAGAACAGAGGGCAGATTGAGGCGAGGCGCGGCGGCGGGTCGCGGCGCGGTGGGAGGTCGCGGCGCGGCGGCGGTACTCACAGTGAACTGGTTCCCCGCCGTGGGGATGTAGATGGTGTACTGCTTCTCTGACGCCGCCTCCACGTTCACGGGGCTGGCCTCGGCGTTCCTCCTCAGCTCCTCCAGGGCCAGCCGCACCGCCAGGTACTTGGACAGGTGATCCACGGTGGCGTTTCCAGACGTCTTGATGTAGCGAGGAACAAACTCCACACTGCAAAGACAGCCATTGGAGCCCGTTTCAGAAAGCAGGTCTCACAAACAAGTATGGAAAGCCATCATCAATGGAGCGCTGATTCAACCAGTCACCATGGCAACAGGAAGTGCCTATTTCACCCACTGGATCTATAGATCTTCATGAAGGAATTAAAAAAGGAGAATGTGTTTAATGGACAGAATCAGGCTGCAGCTGCAAAGGAGAGGAAGATGGAGGAGATCGATGCTCCAGGTTTATATGGCAGGCCGTTTCTACATTTAATCAAAGATCTCTATGTTGTTCCGTTTGTAGATCACTAAAATAAGATTCCTTCTGATCAAAATCACACTCCTAGACTAAACTGTAAAAATAGATTTTTTTAATGACAATTTAGCAGCAAAAACTGAATTCTAGAAAGTAAAAAAAAAACAATTTATACCAGTAAAAATTAGGTTTTATATTCCCATGTTTCCACATTTTAAGTGAAACTGAAAATGTTTTATATCTAAAATCCATTTCTTTAAACTTAAGATAAAACAAATGCTGACCAGTAATATTAGGAATATGGAGATCTATAATGAATTTCTAGACATCCAGAATGTTTATTCTAGATTTGGAGAATGTCTTTTTGTTTGAAATTATCATTTACAGAAAAAAAAAAAATTTTAATTTGAAAAAAAATGTCAGGATTTTTTTTTCAGATATCAGGAATACATATTCAGTAAAACTAATACATATCAAAATGGCTTGCCATAGCCTGCTGTGACCCGCTCAGATTACGGGTTTATTGGTATTAGATCAATGGATCCATTTAGGTGAAATCGCTTCATCTGCTGTAAAACTAATTAAAAATAAAATGATCTGCATCTCGCTCCAATTAAACAAACCAGAAACCAGTAATCTCCCATCCTGTCACTGGGAATCTTCTCCTATAAATATTTAATTCTCTGGGAATCAATGCAGATCATTCTTTAATGCGATCGGAGACAGACGACGCTCTGAGTTTACTGGACCTGGTTACTATGGCAACAGAAACAGAGGAGGAGGAAACTCTGTGAAACGGAAAAGTCAGAGTTTTCCTGATTTCAGGTTTAGAAAACGTTAAGTTTCCAGTAAACCTGCTTGGTGAAACGGCGCCCGGGTCCAAACGGCGCTACCAGAGGTGGGCGGTCTGCTGACCTCACCTGTTGTGGGCCTCGTCCTTCTCCATCAGGGTGGGGTGCGGCCTGAACACCAGCTCGATTTCGCTGGCGCCTCCTTCGATCACAGAGTCTCCTCCCCCGTTCTCGGCGGCGTTGTCCATGTCCAAACCGCTGTCGTCGCTGGTCTTGGTGCGCTTGATGCTCGGACCCGCCTCCTGGAGGACAGAAACAGAGTGTGACTGGGGAACGGGTCAGGGAGGGTGCGGCGTCACGCCAGGACCTACCTGGTTACTGTGGACGGAGGCGTTGCTGCAGTGGGAGGAGTCTCCGTTGTCCTCGGCTCCGCTGCCGTTCTCCACGGTGTGTCTCTTCCCTCGCTGCAGCCTGCCGGGGACAGAGAGCGTTAGCTGTGTTTATGCTGGGCGCTCTGGGCGGGTGGAGGCGCATGGAGGCGGGCGGGGTTACCTGGTCATGGCCTGGATCTTCAGCCCCTCCTCGATGCTGTGGGA